GTATTTAGCCTCTCTATTTTCCACACAATTCATCTCCTTTTATGCTTGAACTTCAAGCTCCTGGATAATCTAGAGAATATAATTTTTATTATTTTGTCAAAGGACAGTGATCCACAGTAGCTGCGCAAACAATGAGTAGTTACATCCCCTCAAAGGCTTCCAATCCAGACATCTTCCAGAGTCTCTCCATATTAAGAAATAGTCTCCTTGCTTTGAAGTAAGCTTAGCATTGTGTTTTTCTTTGGGGCGTCGAAGGAAAGCTGAAGTGGTGGGGACGGGGTGAGATATCTTTAGCAAGAGTACCTCAGGATTGAATCATTTTGCTGTATTGTACGCTTCCTAAGGCTTAACATATTTCAAGTGATTATGTAGGTTTTAAAGCAACCCTTCAGGCAACCCTTGAGAACAGGAATTTCAGAGGGTCTTAGCTTGGATTTTGTTGCTTCTTGTCATGTCTGATGAATCCCAAAAGCTCAGAGTGGAAGATCTACTGCAGGGAGTTTTGCCTGGTAGAGGAATACAGCAGAGGAAGCAACAAGTTCTGCAACAAGAATTAGCAAGTCGTCCACGTGAGCTGACAGAAATACTTCCCAACTGTGGAACAGAGCCTGCCTGCAGAGCCAATACTTAAGCAATAACACAGACATTTCCAAAGTCCAGCTGATTTCTAGAAAGTCCCACCACATTTATTGCTTCAAACATGATGAAGACTGAGCTAGATGCCAAAAAGTCATCTGATCCTGCCTAGCAGTGACTTGTAATCTGACATGAACCTTTCATCCCATTTGGCAATAAAGCTGCAATAGTTATAAGAATTTTTTTTTTTTTTTTTTTTAGCCCCTATTTCCTGGAAGGTAGATTTCATTATAAACTCTGTGATTGTAGACACATCCACATCAGCACATATTCACTCAGTGTATCTCCTGAAAGAGTGAGAATTTTAGCTACAGATCTGCTACTTGGATAGGGGAGGTTGACTGAGGGARTAGGCCAAAGTACTGTGGCTTCACCCACAAGAAAATAAAGAACACATGAAGCAATTAGCATAGTTTTCAAATGACACTGTCTAGTCATCAAGACTCTATATTTGACCTGCCTAAAAACATAATATTGGCAATGATTTCCAGAGTCCAAACATTCATCTATTTTTAGTACACCATTTCACAGAACACATCCGAGGTCAGCAGTCATTACTTCTGCAAAGCCAAAAATAATGGTTCAGCAAGCTCTGATTTCCACTTTATACAATCTCTTGAAGGACTGAAAGGACAATAACTCAAAGGAAAATTTGGTCCAAGGTCTTGCAATCCATTGCTGTTCTTTCCTGCAGTTAATACAAAACTGTGTTTCAATGTATTTTAAACATTGATGACACCACTGGGGTTCATGCACAAACAAGTCATTAAAAAGAAAAGGCTAGAAAATTAAATATTTTTTATTCACATAGCAAAATACAAATTCAAGCTGTCTTCTATGAAGGTTGATGTGTTCTGCCTCCTTGTAGACAGTATTTGGGAGAGTAGAAGCACAGCAATGCTCTGAGCAGAGCTGCTCCCTGCAGCAASCTTTGTCCCAAGTGATGAACTTCCTTCAGAGACTGTGGGTACTGACACTCAGAACAGCACCCCCAATACCACTGCCCTTGTGTCTTGGTGCAATGAGGCAGAAGAATGACCCTGCTTCTGGGCAGCACTATCCTCATGCTTTGTCAAACTTGCTTTGAGGCAAAAGAAGAGCTAAAACCAGAGACAAAGAGGAGCTTGGTGTCTCTGACCTTGGGCATCAGCAAAAACAAATTCAAAAGGTCTCAGAAATTCCAGCAGGCAATGCTGTCAGGCTATTTTGTTCGACTGCTTCATTGGTAAGAAATGTGAGAAGAGGGGAAAACTGTATTCATAGTCTCTTTCCTCTCCTGATGTTGCTGGGCACATCTGCTCTTTTTAACACACCACGTACACATCTAAACACCTGCAGTCTCTTCAAAGATCTAACATCCAACTTAAATCAGCCTTAGATCATTCTCTCCTCTTTGATCATGCTCTGTCCACTCAATGTCTATGAATGAGTGAATACCAATGTGTAATGATTCAAGCAATCCATAAGCAAGATCCTCATGAATCAAAGCATTTCTCCCAGCAAACACAATATAGCTATTCAATAAAAGAGTCAGGGACTTTGGGTCACTTTTTATAAAAAAAGTCACAGAAAGTTAGGTTCCTAGTATGTATCATTTAACATTACTGCAATAATATTGTATTTGTCCACTCTTTTTTAAAGGGGTTTTCATTTTTTAGGAAGAAAAGGTTAAAAAAACAAAACCCAAACACTTGGAGTAAAGGATATCTGAAAATCAACACTATATTTCTGGACAAGAATCAGCAAACATTCTTTGGAAAACATTCTGAGACCTTGCTTATTTTTTACTTAAATAAACTTTATTGAATGACAATACTATTCTACCTGAATATGCTTATTATATTTTCAGGCCTATAAAGCATGTCTACCCAAATGTACCCGGTCTGTAGTGTACTTTCACTACAGCTGTTTGTATGAACTAGATAGTCTGAGGAATTATGAGCTGCAAAGGAACATTAAGCATAATGCTAATATTTGGCATTCTTCTATGCCAAAYGGTATTCTATAAGTATTCTATAAGTAAAACTCTTGGGTTCACTTCCTAAATGTCTGTAACTGACCATTTTCTTCATTGCAAAGAAACAGTACAATGCAAAACTGCCTCTCGTTGAGAGCACAAACAACATGGAGCAGCAGAATCTAAGGCAGAATCTAAGTCCACTGATTACTTAGCATAGACATTTTCTTTATAACAGAGATTATCTGAAAATTTTACTGTCCTCAGTCCTTGCAGAGCTGTGCTTTACAGAAAATCATTACAAATCTCTCTTCAAAATTTTATATGGCTCTATGTACAAATTGCAGTATCTACACAGAAGAGAGCACAGCCTTGAGGCAAATGGAATTTCTTGCATTTAACTGCAGGATACTTCTACTGAAGCAGAGTAGTCATTTTCCAATTATTATGTTAGCTCAAGATAAATATGATTTAACAGAAGTATCCAGCTGCCAAACTCAAAAACAAAAGAAAGAGGCAATGTCTTGTCACAGAGATTTTCCTGCTGCTTAATTCTCTTGTCTGTTCCTATGCAAACACTCACCTTTCTTAATGAGGAAATGATCCATAAAGCTGCAAAAATGAAAAATGAGATATATATTCAATTAGCTGTAGTACTGTTAGCATGCCACTTCAGGTCAGCTGGAAAGCTTTGAAAAGCAAGACATTTGTTACTTAAAGTAGAAAATCTGAATGCAAACTCAGCTAGCTTAAATGTGAAGTTCTTCTGGCAAACCACTGGAAAACATAATTGAATGTAGCCCTCCTGGGATGGAACCCTAACAAACTAGAGGACCACTTGTCTGCTAGCATTTGATTTTGCCTTCACAGTGCCTAAGTCTTTGTGCAATTACAGTAGTAAGTTTCACTTACAGGAATGATTACCCTACACAGTTATAAGTAAGGGTCTATTTTATCCTCTCAATGTAGCTAACATCCATCAAAGAAATGGCTTTCTATACATAGACTGCTTTTCATGTGATTATTTTCAAAGGTGACCATCATTTTATGGGCACAGCCAACACCTGAACAATTTACTCTGACATATTGTGCTTACAGCCGATACAAGGAATACAAATGCGATGAGCTACACACCTGACTGAGTTGCTGCTGTGCAGGCAGAAAACAGAGAGACATTTCAGCTGTGAGCAACAGTGCAGCTGCGAGCTACAGTGCAGCTGCTGAAATACTGGGTATGCCAATTATGCCATGCATCTACACAGGAATACTAGAATAATGTGTGAAGGACATTGCTATAGGAGAGTTGTAAAGGAACACAATTCACTCCTGGTGTGCATCTGCAGCCAACATAATCCCATTGTAGTTAGTATGCTTTCAGATACCATATAAATGCTGATTGTTTTTAGTAACTTGTAGACCAAATTCTAAGGTATCTGTGCCAGCAGCATCAGTTCAGCAAAATACCACCACATGTAATCTGATTCAATACAAACCCATTCTTTGGATAGTTTTCCTCATATAAACTAGATATGTAATTGTATAGCATACTGAGTTATACATGAATACCAACATTCTTGGTATTCAGTGCCATGAATTTAGTTTGGATTCTTCCATCCCTCACATTTAGCTACAACGACAAAGCATTAGCTCCAAGGTGACATAATTCCTTTTCCATGCTGAGCCATGCTGATAGCTCAGGAGGTAGTGGCACAAGCAGCATTGTTGCACTTATGTCTGGCTGTAAGGAACACAAATGTTCTATAAAGGCAAGAATTGAGAGATAAAGCAGATTTTTTTTTTTTTCTCCAAACTTGTTTACATGACCAATTTAAACAAACAATGCATAACCTGTCCACCTGTGGGAAGGTAACTTCAAAATCAGGTTCCAGCCTGTATTCAGATTTACCTTAAATCCTACTGTAAAGAGTCACAGAATCACAGAATCCTTAAAATTGGAAGGGACCTTTAGAGATCATCTAGACACATAGAACAGACCTGGACTTCTTCTGGACAGAATCTGAGACTAGTTTATAGCCCTCATTTCTGCATGTCCTTGAAGGTATTCAGTATCATTTAACTCAGGAAAAGTAGCCAACATTTTGATAACAAAATATTCATGAGACTAAATATATTCCTTGTTGTATATAGTGGTGACAGAAGCTAATTCCTAGTTTAGTGTGTGACACAGCATAGCAGATAGGTAATGGTTACTGACTGTATGTCAGAGGGACACAGACACATCTAATTCATGTTCAACAAGGACCAGGTGCTTAGGTCTGATAAAAACCTTTGCTGGCATCAGCTGAACCTAGGGAAAAGACAGGAATGACTCACAGTCATCTTTGCTGTCTTCAGGGAAGCTGCAGTCCAGTCTGACCCCAACAAAAGTGTGACCATTCTGGYATATCAGTCAAGAATTACTGAGAACAGTGTTCTTCAACGTGAGTCAAACATCATGAGAGAAGAATCAATCATTTTTCATCTTGTCTTTACTTTTCCTGTTTCCCAAGCTATGACTGAAACATTCATTTTCTCTGAACTGCAGTAACCTTCATTTTGCTTTGTTACTATTGAGATCCTTTCCTATTGTTTAGCTTTGTTTCCCACAGCTTCTTACAAATCTATGCAGGATTCATCCAGTTATTTCAGCATTTTTCCCCCCTCTCATCTGTCCCGTTTATGCTAATATCTCTGAATATTCTAGCTCTAAAAAAAATCCTTCTGAAGTGCTTCAGATGGTTTGGCACATGAGTCCCTGGAGGTAGCTTTGGATGCTACAGATTTGAGTTCAAATTCTCCTGCCACAGTATAGCACTAAGAAAAATAAAATCCCAGCCAACACAGACAATGCTCTTATGGAACTGAAACTCACTATATTTTCTCAGATAACACCATGGCTGCATCTGATGATGACTGGCAAATTCAGAATTAGTTCACATTCATTTATCTCACAAAACAGAGGTATTGGTTCTCTCTCCCATGCTGTTAATAAACCAGAAGAAGTCTCAGTTTTACATATGTCACTGCTTTGATTTTCACTCAGTACTATTCTATACTTAGTTCTATTACACCATTTAATAGTACTAGTCTTCCTGCATTGATCACATTTAAATCATATTATCATGCTTTACTGAGTGTAGTACCAGGAAGGCAAAGACTGAATTCTTCATATAACGGTATTCAAAACAGAAAGTTTAAAGAGAAAGAGTGTGTTAAAGAGAAAAAGTAGGTTACTTATACTACTCAGAAAAATCCTGCAAAAAATGCTAAGATTCAGATCTTTGAAATCTTTGTTTTATTGTTTTCTTTGTTAGTTAAAAGTATTCTACTGATTAGCTAGTTAAAAGTACTGATTGTCATCATCTGGAAGATAGAATGGTGTGAACATTTAAATTTGTAATTTGTAAATTTGTGAATTATCAGGTACCATCTTGAGGAGAATGAGAAGATGTGAAAATGAGATCAACACCAGAAGCATGGAAAAATACTATCATAGAAAAGAACATGCTAAATAACAGGGAATCCACAATCAACAAGTTGCAAAGCTGAAACTATTATTTGGAAAAATCTCCCTCACAACAAAAAGCCAGAGTGCAAGAGAAATTCTCATTCACATACATGACACTTCCAGAGTGAAAAAGATGTGATGAAGAACTCCTGATTTTAATTGCAAGGCAACTCAGAACAGACCATAGATGGAATAGGTCAACTTAACTATAAAGCCAGCTGAGTTCTGCCTAAATCTCTGAAGTCATTATCTAAATCASTGCATCTGTGCCAGTCTGCAGCAGCTGAAGGCATCTCTCTGCCCTTTCATTTGTCTTGCACATGAGGATCAAACCAGTTTTCACCGTAAGTCAAGACAAAAGTATTGACAAATAATTTAATGAACTTAGTTGAAAGGGATGTAAAAGTACAATATCAATCTTTCACCTGGCAACTGGTCAACCACAAAAATTATGAGAAAGTCATTCAATAAAAATGGTAATAATGACCAAAAATGTTTTCATCAGCTTCAGAAACAGTGATGATGTAATATCCTATAACGAAACCAAGAAACCAAACTGAATATGGGTTATTAGCATGCAGAATCTGCCATCTGTGACTCATATAATCCACTCCAAGATACACAGACTAATATAGTCTGAAAATCTGGGTCTTTGCATTGCAGTCTTCCTTTATACAGAATTTTTTTTCTTACCACTTCAGTCTGAGGAAACCTCAAATCCTGTTATTTTCAGGTTTCCTTGTAAAAATGAAACTTGAATCACATTCAGCAGAGGATTTACTGAAGTCAGTGAACTTTTTAGTGAATCTGTGAAGATCTGAGGCTTTAAAAGGGAACACTGTAGATGTCAGTAGGTTTCTGCAGCTCTGTATATCCTAAACAATACTAGGCCAAAATATGAAGATTTGGCCTAACAAAATTTCAAAATAACAAAAATAGCAGGTGCATTTTACAGAATAGCCCATTGCCAAAGGGCACAAAGTACTACTTGAACCAATAGGAAGAAAGTGCGTTCTAAGGCCAAATATCCTTCCCTAAGGCTCCTCTAAGTATCATTCAGCTAGGCYTAGGCCAATTGCAGTTTAGAATATCATTGCTAGGAAATTATAATTTTATACCTTAAAATGTCTGTCCTATTACTCATAGAATAACTCACCACTTTTCTAAAAACAAATCTGGATCAATAGTCAATAAAGATGATCAAAAGGATGCAAAGGTATATAATCAAGCTTTTATAATTCTAGGCAATTAAAATTTCATGACATATATTAAATCTCTTTTTTTTTTCAGTTTATGCTTAATATAGAACTCTCTACAGTGAAATATTTGCCAGTGGCAATCTCTTTCATACAATATTAGCATATCCAATTCTCCCCTTGTGGGATATTTCAGCATATAATATTAATTCACCATTAGGTAAGGTACTCATTTTAGCAATCTCCTGTGATCTCATTAATTAAAAAAAATGGTACAATCACTTGTATTTTATTCCATTTTACTTTCCTTCCTTTTTTTCTTGTTGTTGTTTTCCTTTTTTTGACTTGCAGAAGTGGTGCTAGTTTTTAACAGAAAAATCCTATCAATATCTGCTCCATATTCAGCACCTACAGGTCCAATAGCTTCAGGCAGAATAGTTCTTTTGCTTCTGCTAAGCTGTAAGTAATATTCAACTTTGCTTTGCTATTGCAAACTTATAAAGGTCTTTCTTTTTTAATAATCAAAACTTTGAAATCCATCTATTTTTTTTCTCAAAAATGTTCATGAAATATTTACAAAATTGCATTCTCCAAAATTCTCAAGTGAATATATAAATATTATTAACCAGTCACCTTATTATTGTATAGATCATTGTATAGGTAATTGTGAGGCTGTTGTTGGGGTATTACTCAAACTTTCAAACTTTTTTTTTTTTTTTAATAAAGAAAATTAAACATTAACATGTCTGATAATTACTGGAGGATTGTACCTGAATTACTGAGTTTTCACTATATGTTCAATTCTCACACTTCAGGAGAGAAAAAAAAAAAAGTCACTAGAATGAAAGTTAGAAATAGAAATTCATAGAGGAACAAAGGCATAAAACCTGTGTCAAGTTTCTGGAATTACAAATTACGATTAGGCAATTACTGCTAGTGATGAGACATCTTCTGTTAGAAAACATCAAAGTATTATCAGAATTTTCTTTAAAAGAGCTCAAGACTATTTGGCGCATTTTCCTAAAAGCATTTGTTTTCTGTAAGTTAATGTTAACAACTCTATTCCTTTCCACATTTAAATTAGGCAGTGGCTTGTCTGTAGTAGCTATTTTGCAGTGGGTTTTATTTTTTCATGTTTTTCACTATGCTTCATCAGTGGATAAATGATTGAATGTGCCATCTGTAATATGAATTTTAACAGAATAAATTGAGATTTTTAGAAAGGAATTATCAAAGAAACATATTCATTCTACTGATACAGAATGCAAAAACCTTCAAGATAGCTTTATTTGTTAAAATTTATGCAAATATTATAAAATGCTGTTTTTTTCTTTCTCTTTTCAGGATGCTTTAAATCTACATTCTGGTAATCTAATATCAAATAAGAAGTTCATATTTATTAAAAAAGAATCATGAAGTTTACAAATTTATGATCATGATGTTCAGGTTGCCTTCTTTTCAGGAAAAAAAAAACTTGGATGAAGCAAAAATTACTGAAAGGAACAAAGAAAAACACACTGGCTAAATTAGTCTATCAGCKGAATGAGAGCAAGGTGAGAGACCAGATAAGAGGCTCATAGAGAATGAAAGAGACAAAGGAATGTGGCATTATGTATTTTAAGAATAGTTGAACCAGGGAAGCATAATAACCAGAGTCTGTATTGTACTGATAAAGCAAATGAGGCTGTAGAAGAAAAGAAAATAAGACAATGCAAATGGGTTAAAGAAAGAACAGAAACATATAGGCCCACCAAAAATAAAATGCAACTTGAAAAACTGCAAGCCAGCACATTTTGGGGAAATGAATGCAAAACACAGACATTCAATGAACAGATCAAAGCCTTGGAAGCAGCAATATGAGTATGTACCCTGGAGAAATTGTGAGCACCATGATAGCCATGAATTTCCAATGTAATTTAACAGAAGAGGGACATAAAACCCAAGAAGGAAACACAGGCACCTAATCATGGAGTCCCTTATCTGTATGGCCTTGCTACAAGTGTATCTGAAGTATTTCATTAATTATGGGTACATTATGGCCAGAAATATACTCACTGTGAAAAGGAAAATGAGGTAAAGCAACGAAAATGATTATTGGATTGATTAGGGCTAGTTTATGGGACAGACTTATGGGGAGAGATTAAATAAGTACAGGTAGGTTATGGACTAGGGAGAAATAAAGTAACCAGATAAAAATATATAAGGCATAAACACTAGAAATGAGAAGTAGCAGAGAATATAACATTAGTAGACAACAGGAGTGGATTCACATATAAGTATCCTTTCAAAATATTACCTGACTGCATGCTATTGCATAGACAGCAGCACAAACTTTACTCGTAGACTGCAATCTGTTTTTTATTTCAGCTGTATTAAAAGCACTAAACTCTCTCCGATTACCCTTGGCAGGCATGTGCCAGTGTCAGGATGATAATAATAATATTAACAACAACAACAACAACAATAATAATAAAAACTTTTCTGAGGAAAGGAATGGGCTTGGGAAGTAGGGAGACCGTTGACAAAAAGAGATATAGGCAATTCAGTATTTGCACATGTCACAACCAAACCAGCATGTTTGTTGGTTTTATCCCCCTTAAACATTCCTCTTTCCACAGGAGGAAGTACAACCCATTTCTGTAAGAACAGTTCAGTTTTATGCAAACCTTGCTCTGAGATTGGAATGAGGCTCCACAAAATCAGCTCAATTCCGTTCACCTTGAGCAATTCAACTGTACCACCTACTGTGCCAAGGCTTCAAGCCCGAAGCCCATGGTTTCTGCTTGTTTGGGCTGTTGAATAGCTATGCGAAGTAACAGGAACGTAAGCAATGCATTTCAGCCAACTATTACTTTCCCAGGACCTGGCTTGGTGTAAGAAGTGCTGTCTGTTGTCTTCCCTGGCCCACACAGGCCAAATAGGCCTGCACTGTAGCTTGCAGTAGACTTGCACCAGAATCTCCTGAAGTTAATTTGTTACACAGGCCTTACTTACCTCTGTATTTTTCAAATGTTTAATTTGCATTTAGCCGGTTAGCCATTTAGACAAGTTATATTGTCTTATATGCCTGGTTAAAATATTGCTCACCATCTGAAGGTCAGAAGTGCTACATTCCCTCAGCAAATCTACTGCCAGAGGTTGCAAAAAGTGCTTCTCAGTTGTCCATGTCTGAACAACCACACAGCATATCATCAATACCATAACCCTGAGGAGCTGAGAGTGACTGACATATTTTGGAATTTTAATGAAATCCGTCAGGGAATATCTGATAGGTAGAACATCTGGATATMAAAAATCTATGGAGTTATGCAATACTCCAACGAGAACTGTTTCAGTTCTCGTTTTTGTCACACCTTTTTGATGTATTTTTAAGCTCATTTCTACCTTTAGAGTGAACTCTGCCAAGCCTGCTGTCACTGCAATTTGGTTATTATCCATTCCCATCTGATAYTATCAAGCTGACCTGTGGTGAAGCAGGGCTGTCAGAGTAAGCGGATTCCAATGTACAGTAGTTGAAATAATAAATGATAGGGGCTGTACGCTAGAGAAAACTGTGATTATATCATCACTCCAGTCCCCATTAAGCTCAGCAATTTCTAGCTATTTGAAAAACTGGGATGTCATTTTTGGAACATGTTTTTTAAAGTGTTTTACTAAATGCAATAAAATACACTATTTTCATAGTGATTGCTTTTCAGAGCCTGCTCAAAGGATTCTTATCTAAGTAAACATTTCAGGAGGCTACTTACCTGTATCATAATCTTAATTAATAATACAAGAGTATATTGTTTTGGAAACGACAAGCACTCAATTGCTCATTTCTTTCCATGTCTGCCAATGGCCATAGTATTGGGGCATAGATGAGGAAGGTCCTGTTCAAATTCCAGCAAGCWGCCAGGCCTCTGAATCTCTCAATGCTGGAAATCTGTCAAGCATTAGCTCTAAGAAATTTCCACACTCTCCTCCCACTCTTTGGACTAGTAGTGAAGTACAGCAAAACTATACTTTTTTGGCATTTTTACTG